TATTTATTTGACAGAGAGAGACACAGCGAGAGAGGGAACACAAGCAGGGGGAGTGGGAGAGGGAGAAGCAGGCTTCCTGCCGAGCAGGGAGCCCGATGTGGGGCTCGATCCCAGGATCCTGGGACCATGACCTGAGCCGAAGGCAGACGTTCAACAACTGAGCCACCCAGGCGCCCCTGGGCATAGTTTTAAAATAAAAGAAAATAAATAATCCCTAATCCCCACCCAAAATAAGACACCGGACTTGATAATGTAGCCTACAGTCTTGTACCTATTATAGAAAGAAGAGTTTACAAAGCAATTTTACTTATCTTAAAAGTAGTAGATCAAGTCTCCAACTACCACCAAATCTCTAATTACGAATCTCTTAACTCTAACACTCCATCTCTAACTATACCAAGGTGTAGGCAATCCAGGGGACAGAGGAACATGTTAAATGGTATCATAGGTTGTAATCAGCAAAATGCAGACTATGGGAAATTGTATAGGACACAAAACCCGGATTATTCAACAAGTAATTTTTTCCCTGCAAGGGGACAAAAAAAAAAAGACATAAAAAGGGAATTTACCAACCAAAACACTTAAGGGATATCTTAGTTACTTGCAATGTATGGGCCTTATTTGGATTGAATTATATTAAAAATTTCATAGCAACTGGGAAGATCTAAACATTGACTGCATGTTTGATAATATTAAGGAATTACTATTTGTTTCTTAATGTCCGATTGATGTTTATTATGATTTTGTTTTTAAAAACATTATGACATTTGAGATATGCTTCCAAATAATCTGGGGGCAGGAGTGGAGGAGTGGGTTGGCATGTGGAAGCAAGCCTAGTCATGTTGACAATTGTTAAGGCTGAATGACAGGTACAGGGGGGTTCATTACACCATTCTCTCTATTTTTGAATATACTTGAAATGTACCAGAGTAAAAAGCTTAAAAAAACAGGTAAACAACATATAGAAGATACAAACTTTTAGATATTGGATTTATATATGGTCCTACGTTCCTGAAAGAAAGTTTGTGTGTGCACCACAAAACTCTGCCTCCATCAGTTGTGACTACGGATAACTAGCCTTGGTTCTCTCACCTGTAAAACAGGAAAAAATAACAGTGCCTACCTCATAGAGTGAACAGAAGTATCGAATGAAAATATATATTAAACACTTACCCAATGGTCGGCACACAGTAAGGGCTCAAAAATGTTCACCTCCACTTTACTCCTTTAAAACTGATTTTTGTTTTCACTTAAAATCTTAAGACTACTTTAATAATCTAAAATAAAGCCAAAACTCCACGTATTCACTAATAGGACATTTAAAAGCCTCAAATACTCATTGATTGGTTTAACAGAAATCAAATATAAGCCATTTACAGGAATTCACACAAACTGGTGGTCTCTTGCTCTTCTTTTCTTTTCAATTTCAGCTATTGTAAGAGAGATTCTTCCAGACAAATGGTTACAACAAAAAGGGCAAAAAGTATTGTTTCTCTTACCTAGGGAAGCTCTACACCAGAAAGATAAGAAAAGGTATACAAATTATTTGCTCCCATAAGTACTTTTATTTTTAAGTTGAATCATTAACAATACCTTATAAGGATTATATTCTTTATCACAAACTCAGAAAACTCTCCTAGAGTTATAAGCCATAAAACCAAATATAACATACAATAATTTGTTATTGCCAAGTATTTTGCTGTGAGTAGAATATGTGCCAACGGATGTTCCTTGAGCTCTGACACAGAAAATAAATGAGTGTGGCAAATGGATGCTATAAGAATATGTTTATACAAACAATTTTATGTGAAGGGATAAGCACAGGTTTACATTTAAAAGAGGGCTGTAAGGTACATTTAAACTTCCTTATGAGAACTTCCTTGTGAGAAGTTGGAATGTATGCAAAAAGAATAGTCTCTCAAGTCTGTATACATACAAAATTAAATAAACCTGCTAACACAAGTTAAAGTTTTGGTGGTCTGAAAGATGTTCAAATTTGGCATATGACATACATATTTGAGTACTGTTTTTTTTTTTACTCTAATTTAAAATATTAGTTAAAATAAAATTTTTAAAATTCAAATCAAATTTTTATGGGACCCCTCAAGAAAACTGTGTGTGTATGGGGGGGTAGGGGGACATCCAAAGCCTCCCATTTCCTGTGGATGGCAATTTGAAGTACCTCGGCTGTTCCTCTTCCTGTGGAAGGAGAGAGGAACCACCTGCCCCTCTCAGGGAGGCCAGGGACAGATACTTGATTAGCCAGTGCCTACAACGGGTCTTTAGACCCAGCTAATTGTCAGTAACTGGCCTACTTACAGATGGGTACTTCTATAAATGTGAGGAATATTAAGGGCATTCAAATTCATGAAGACTGTTCATTCTGCCTCAGATAAGAAGCATAAATAACCTCTCATATCTGAAGTGCTCTTATGGCCTTAGTTCTCAAGGCCTGAGTGTTCTCACAAGTATTTTACTGTACAACATTTGTCTCTTGAACCCTCAGACATGAGTCCTTCTGTGTAACAAAATTCTCTATACAGCTGAAGATCTGCTCTCCTAAGCATCAAAACACTTCATTTTAACCATTTTGTATGGACATCTTTTAAAACTGAGTTATACATTATTAGTATAAATTATAAATTTATAGTATAGTATAAATTAGTGTAAAATGAAATTAGTATAAAAATATAAAGTATATTATTACAAGTTGTTCATTTTTACTGTAAAAATATTAGAAAATACAGCTTAGAAAAACAAAGCCAAAGAGAATGCACACAGCATTTTGGGTCATGCTCTGTGTTAAAGCTGAGACCCCATCAGGCTTGTTTTGTTAGGTGGAGCAATTAAACAGTGTGTCAGGAATGAACTTCAGACTGCTGTAATTTGAGTTCTTTTGTCTGCTTCTGATTCTGATGCTGGCTCCTCTCTCGTTTGTCAAATAGATGTCATTTATGTTTGCTGTCAAGATGACTATCAGCAGAGCACCTCTCAGTCTCCCTCCTGCTTTGTTTCTTTTGATGATGAGAAGTTTGGAAATCAGACAACTCAGCCTGACAGAAACACACCTGAAGGCAGAGTGCGCTGGCTCTGAGTGAGGGGCTAAGGGGCTTTCTGAGAAAAGTGCGTTGGCTCTAGTCATGGACTTTGTGACATTTTTATTGGTTGGTGGAAGCCTTTTTTGCTTACTCTGTGGTTCTAGGCTATGGTCTAAATAGGCAAGGCTGACAGAATTTTGGTGCATAAAGTCATGGTATCACTGATGCTTTGTCTATAGGTTATAATTTTTAGCCTTATAGTTCATGCAGAGAAAAAAAAAATCTCAGCTGTTTCATCTCTGAGTATACAAGGTCTATTTGTAACTAACTGTCTTATATGACTGTATTAAATCTGTGAAGATTTAGAAAGATCTAGAAATCCACTGATTGCACCATGGGAAAAGCATAAAGGTGTAAGCTCCCCCCTAACTAACTCGGGACCGATTCCGCAGGCATGAGAGACAGAAGGGCATAGAGCACCACTTTCTAACTTAACTGGTCTCATGCGGGTGCTCCTCACCGGCCGGGACTACAATCTTTTCTCTTCCTTTTGATGAAATCTTCACATCGGAAAAAGCCATTGCACTGACCACCGCACAGGAATGGAGCACGGCAGACGTGGTGCCGAGCCTGGGGTTTGGGTTCCAGACTTTTGGAATTACTTAAATACTTAGTTACTTTCCCCGTTGCTGCTGCCAAGTCAGCGCTGCTCTACAGTCATTCTAGACTCAGCTAAACTTTTGTTGAGTAGTAAATTTTCATACAGATAACTTCATTTTGTTATCTCCTATTGTAGTTCCTACATTTTACTTATCTTTCATTGATACTCAACTTAGGAAGAGAAACTCTTTAATAGAAAATTAGTTTTATTTAACGTAATGATCAGAGTTATCATGTATTGAGATTTACTATATGACAGATACCAAAATCTCATTTAATTCTCATTCTCTAATTTTTTTTTTAAGATTTTATTTATTTAGTTGACAGAGAGAGACACAGCAAGAGAGGGAACACAAGCAGGAGGAGTGGGAGAGGGAGAAGCAGGCTTCCCGCTGAGCAGGGAGCCCGATGCGGGGCTCGATGTGGGGCTCGATCCCCTGGGAACATGACCTGAGCCGAAGGCAGACGCTTAACAACTGAGCCACCCAGGTGCCCTCTCATTCTCTATTTTTCATGCATTCATTCAACACATAACTGGTGAGCACCTACTATGTGCTAGGCCCTGTTCTAGCCTCTGGGATTTTTCATTAATTAAGACACTCAAGGACCTTATATTCTATTCTAGTGGGGGAGGGCAGACAAATAAGCAAAATAAATATATAACAATCTACTCAATACTGACAAGAGCTATGAGAAAGAAAACATAGGCAAGGGGGGTAGAGAGTGATGAGGTGTGCGTGTGAGGGTGAGGGGAGAGTTGGTGCTATTTTAGACAGGATGGGGAAGTGAAATGTGAGCAACAACCTAGCAGGAGTAAGTCTGTGTGGACATGTGGAGGAAGAGCATTCCAGGCTGGAGGCATAGCATGTGCAAAGGCCTGTGTGGGGAGTGTGCTCAGCAAGGTCAAGGAACAGATAGGAGGCCGGTGTGAACAGGGGCAGTGAACGTGGAGCAAAGGAGGCAAGCAGGGAAGGTCAGAGAACTGCAGGGGCCTGTAGGCTCCTTAGGGTCTTTTAACTTTACTTTGCGTGAGATGGGAGCCACCGGAGGTTTTCAGAAGAGGAAGAAGATCAGTATTACACGCTGTCTGTGCCATGGGGAAAATATAAAGATATAAGCTCCCCCCCAACTCACTCGTATGCTGGTTTTACCACTGGGACAACAGAGCTGTAGAGATGGTAAATCGCTTGCCTACAAGGAGCAAGCAGCAGAGCTGGGATATGAACAGACCAGTTCGTTAGCATGTCCTCTTCACTACTGGGAAACTGCCTTATAAACAGTTTCTATGTACAAAGAGTGAGATTAGTATAAAATGAAGTTAGTATAAAAATATAAAGGCACAATGAAAAAAGTCTTTATAGTCTAAAACCTTTTTCAGTTTTGCTGAGATACTATCGACATAACATATGTTAAGTTTAAAGTGTGCAACGTATATGTTGTGAAATGATTGTCACAGTAAGGTTAGTGTCCATCTAAAACTCTTAAACAAGACTCAATGTATAATTCCAATTTTCTTGATTATAAGCCCAACATCTTCTAATTCCAACAAATAACCTATCTAGTTCTTATTATAGTCAACCGTAATTTTATGTGACTTCTTTAAATTCGAAAAGAACACTACTTCATGCCAAACTAGAGATTTCATGTTATTTTTTATCCTTTGATTTCTAAAAGCATCACATACCTTCTACAGAATTTCTGTGTACTAAGCCAATATAGTGAATTCTTGGTTGTCAGTGACTGGTCTTTCTTCTTCAGGATCCCCTGGAGGCCATGTCCATGGAAACAGGTTCTAGCAGAGTCTCCTTCAGTCCAGTTGAACTGAAAACTTGAAGGACTTTTCTTTTCAACAGTTGGTGCTGAATCAACCAGTGTGCTAAATTGTTTTTGTAGACTCACCACCATTTCTGGAAACAGAGGGAAAAAGGAAAGGAATAAAATAAAAACTAATGTTAAATCACAGATGAGTTTACTTGTTAGCAATGTACTAATGTTGGTTTCTTAGTGTTGATAAATGCACCACAATAATGCAAGAGGATAACAACACGGGGAGCTGAAACTGGATGAGGGGCATTGGGAAACTACTTAAAAAAGGTAAAATGTATTTTTACCACAATTAGGAAAAAAAATGAACAAGACAACTTACAGGCAATTCTCCACAGAAAGAGTTCTGAAAGTCATAGAAATAATAGGATGATTTTAGATTTTGGTGGGAACTTAAGTTCTGTTTTAAAGAATACAGTGTTCCTGAAACAGATTCCTCTGGAAATTTCTTACAGAGGATGGTATTTCTTTGGATGGGCACTGGAACACTTGCTGAAGAAGCAAAATAATTCCTTAGACACTTTTTAAGTTTATTTATTTATTTAAGTAATCTCTACACCTGACATGGGGCTTGAAACACAACCCCGAGATCAAGAGTTACAGGTTCTATAGACTGAGCCAGTCAGGTGCCCCCAGGCACTCTTTAAGAAGTCAAGATATTTAGCTTTTCTACAATAGTACTGCTACATGGCGTTAAGAGACAGCACAACTCACCTCTTCTTTTATATACCACTGCTCTGTCAATGGATGAGTGGTAGAGTGGCTTTTCGCTTTTCCACATATACCTATACAATGCAAAAAAACATTTGGAGCAGAATGGAGAAGAAATGGACCTAAACACATTTCAGAGAAGTTTCTCTGAAGCAACATCTGAAATTCCTGATACTCGGTGTAATTGCTCTGCCTTAGAATGACCACTGACATGCGTCTGTAGAGCTTACGTCACAGATGTAAGCAGGCAGCACTGAAGGAGACAGCAAGCCAACAGAATGACATGCTCATCCCAAAAGCCTCCCAGATGCCATAAGGTCCTGAAGAAGATATTAATTACACAAAAATGTAGAAATGGTTTCCTTCACCATAAAATTCTCTTGCTGTCTGTTCTCAAGAAGTGAAACCACCACATAAGAAACAACTGTTCCTCCTTGCCCTTGCCCATCTGCCCTTTTGCTGAGGATTAAATCAGAGGTACTTCTGGTAACTCATACAAAGCGAACAGTAAGTACCGGTCTTCTGATGTAGAGGTGCAATCAATGTTAATAAATTATAGTTTTCCTGAAAATTATGTGTGAACTAAATTTTAGTGAACATACCACATTTAAAATATATCAGAGAACTTGTCATTGAACCCTATGGTAAAGGAGTTTGTGATTCTTTCAAATATCTTTTTTGTTATTTGTTTTCTTAAATAATAAATGTAACAATATACTCAAGGTAAAAAATAATAAAGAAGTTTCCTATAGTCTAATCCCAGTCGGTGGGTAAACCCACTATTAAAAATCCCTTGCAAATACCTAATCTAGACAGAATCTCTTATGCATTTATAAGGCATACACAGGTGGCAATTATGCTACAGGCAAGGAGGCATTACTTCCTGGGGGTCATATGCCCAGAAAATGGGAAAAGTGATCTAAAATAACATTCTGTCTAGATACTCCTTCTTTAAAAATGTACCTTACTTTGCTTACCTCTTCCCCAAACTACAAAAGATACAAAAAACGGAGGCACGTCACAAAGTCCTAATGTTTTCTGCAGGAATCCTGCAGACTTCTCTCCAGTTTTCCCATATGCTTTTGTTTCCCAACTAATAAAAGTTAAGGTATAATTTACACACAAACTCACCCTGTTCATTGTACAGTTCTGCTGGCTTTGGCAAACACACACAGTCATGTAATGACCACCACGGTGAATACACAGAGCAGGCCCATCAATCCGAAAGTCTCTCATGCCTCTTCACAGTCAAGCCCTCTCCACACTCCCAGATTCCTGGTCTTAAAACTACTGATATCTGTTTCCATCCCGATTATTTAGCCTTTCCCAGAATGTCATATAAAGGGAATCATACCCTGTGTAACCTTTTGAGACTTTCATTCAGCATAATGCATTTAAGTCATTCATAGTGTTGGATGTATCAGAAGTTTGTTCCTTTCATTGCTGAACAGTATTTCATTGTATAGATTTACCTCACTTGACTTATCCATTCACCAGCTGAAGGGTATTTGGGTTGTTGCCACTTTTTGGCCATTGTGAATGAAGCCACTATGAACGTTCAAATAGAGATTTTTACGTGAAGTTGTCATTTCACTTGGGTAAATATGTAAGAGAGCAAACTACTAGGTAGTGTAATAAATGTATGTTCAACTTTATGAGAAACTGTCAAACTTCCAAAATGGCTGCACCATTTTAAATCCCCACATTAGGTATGGTCAGTTGTTTGTTCATTTCGCTTTGTTTTTGGCCATTCTAACTGGTGTGTAATGATACCTCATTGTAGTTTTAAATTGCATTCCCCTATTAACCCTAATGATGTTGAGCATCATTTCACACATCTTCTTTACTGAAATACTTGCTCAAATCTTTTGTCCATTTAAAAAATTGGGTTTTTGTCTGTGTTCTTACTGTATGAGAATTCTTTATTCTGGATACAAATCTTTTATCAGATATGTGATGTGCACATATGTTCTCCCACTGTATGGCTTCTCATTCTCTTAACAGTGTCTTTTGAAGAGCAGATATTCTTTCTTCTGATGAAGTCCAATTTATAATTTTTTTCTTTTATAGATCATACTTTTGGTATATCTACAAAATTTTGCCTAACCCAAAAGGCTAAAAAGATTTTCTACACATGCTGTTAAATTTTCTTCCATGTTCCTCCCAGCATCTTCCATGACAACTGGAAGTCATCAAAGCCACCTCGTAAGCTGTTATTAGGTTTTCAACTACTGTTTATTAATGTTTTTCATAATCTCATACATAGGGACCCACACTTAGCTATGGAAAATGCTTTAATAACTTTCATCTAACAACATGGAAGATGATGTTCAAAATAATGGGAGAAAAAATTACAAATTTATGTCAACAGTGGGGGTCGGGTAGGGGCTCTGTGCCTAAGCACTAGTCAGTAGTGATTTATATACGGTATTTCACTCAGCTCAAAGCACCTACTCCATACAGAAGTATCTTGGTAATGTATCCCCTGGACAATCTCTTCCCTGAGTCCTGGTCTCTCCCTGGAAGATGCCATTTTGGAAATAGACATACTCTCTCTGGTCATTAAATTCTCCCCTAAAGTACCTAAAAGTCAGTAAGTCTAAGATCTGTAACTGAATGCTGAAATATCAATTTGGGCTCTAATAGCTATGTCTGCAGTGTAAGCTGGTGCCTGGCTTGAGCTAATGAATTCTTAGTTACTACTGAGATGCCTGAGTGGCATGGTCCTTGAATACCTAGCCTCTCAGTATCAGTCAGGACAACCCCTGCTGGCACCATAAAAAGGAAGGCCCAATGGCTTGTACTCCCAAGTTAACCTAAGACAACAGAATGAACTCCTGTTCTTCCTGATATTCTTGTAACCACTGAGATCCAATGACCAAAGAGACATTCCTTCTCTGACAAGGAAGAGGAAGGACCCAGTTTCCTGGGTACCCACAGGCTGTCAGAATAAGTTCACACCCCACCTCTTTTCTTTCATCATTGTGTATCAAACCTGAATAGTGAGAAACTACTACACCTCTCCCCTTTTTGGCAAGGATCCTCTTCCCCACAGTGCTTTATTCATCCCCGTAAGTCTGCTTTTCTATTTAAAAGCTCTCTTAAATGTAGAAGAAAAATAATCCAGTTCTACCTGTGAAAACTGAAATTTAGTTCTTAGAGCACAAAGCAGGCATTATTATCCCTATTTCATTGATGAGGAACTTAGAGCTGAATGAATTATTTTAACTAATTTGAGGAGCCTTGATTTTCTCAAAATATATAAAATTAGTTGATCAATTGAGCATTATTATAAATTTACTAAAATACAGAGACATTAACTTTTTCTTCAAAGTCTTGTAGAGACTCAAAGTTCTAAGAATAGATACAAAACTGTTCAAATCAGAGATCAATAGAAATATACTCTATGTTATGTAACATATAGTGTCTATGAAAATTTATGAGCAAACTAAATTTCAGTGTGCCGAGGCTAAGAAATCAAGTAATTTGGCCATGGTTACACAACTAGTCCGTAGTGCAATCAGGATTCAAACCCAGCACTGTCTGTCTCTATAGGTATGCTCCTTCCACTCTATTACAATGAACCTACATCAGAACGAGAGTTCAGAGTCAAATGGTGAGACTGAATTAAATATCCTCTCTTTGTGCTTTCCTCTGTTTTGATTTTTGCAGGGATCTTTATTTGGGGGAACATTCACTTTATTGGGGGACAATTACATATGTCATAGGCTGATACTTGTAATCTTCGTAATACGGAAAGCAGATGGGAAATGATCAACTTTGAGAGAGGGGAAGGAGAAGGAATATTAGAAATGTAGGTGTGACTCACACAAATTATAAAAAATTAATAATTAAAAAGAGGACATTAATGGAAACACTGATGAAATCCAAATAAAATCTGGAGGTTATTTAATAGTAACACCAAAAAAAAAATCTCAAATAGAACATAGGGCTAATATTTCTAGAAAAAATGTCATAATGCTAAGGAGTCTAACTGCTGAAACGTCAGCTTTCAAATATAAGGTAAGAGACTTAGAAATCAAGCAGGTAAACCTAAAACCAGAAGAGACAACATACTTTGCCCTGGCTTCCTCCCACTTTTGTTTTTTCTCATCAACAGATTTCTTCATCACTTGGTACCATTTTCTGAAATCAAACCAGGGTTTATCTGAAAGAAATGAAATCCATGATTAGTAACCAAATAAGTCACATTATAACCATATACATTATTCATTTGAGTCTTCATTCATTGATACAACTAAACACTATGGAGTCAACATTATGGGAATTATGGAGTCACTGTCTCCATACTTCAACATGACTCCTGAGCAATCTGTCACTGAGTTCCTATCTATATTGTGGCCTTAACTAGATTATACTAAAACCATCTTTTTTTTGAGACAGAAGGAGCATGAGAAGACACCTTGTTCAACCTTTCACTCTGTGTAGAAGCTGACATAAAGCAATGTGTAGAAAGAAGTATTTCACATATATTCTGGAAAGAACTCACAAATTGATTTCTACCATTAAATCCGAGCTCTTAAAACCAATGCACATATATGTGAAATCTTGAAAGAAAAAAGAGTCAAACTCCTAGAAACAGTAGTTTCTACTCTAACAGAGTAGAAAAGTAGTTCCCAGGGGCTGGGGGGTGGGAGATAGGGAGAGGTTGGTAAAAGGGTACAAAGTTTTGGCTCTAAGATAAATAAGGTCTGAGAATCTAATGTAAAACATGGTGATTATAGTTGATCCCACTGTATTATATCAAGGAAATTTGCTAAGGGAATAGGACTAAAATGTTCACTCACTCACACACACACATATACACACACACACACACACACACAAAAGATTAAAATGTGAGGTGATAAATGTATAACCAGATGAGAGAATCCTTTTGCAGTGTACATGTATATCAAATCATCAAAATACACACTTTAAATATCTTACAATTCTATATGTCAATTATACCCCCAAAAAGCTGAATTATTAAAAAAAAAAACAACAATGAACATAAATACTAATGAGGGAACTAAGGAACTAAAATTGAATTTAAGAATTCACTTCACTGAATTGCTCTTAGGCCAGACACTATGTTAGGCACTAAAGATCCATGAAAAAAATAAATAAATAAATAAGAAAGACATGGTCCCTCCCTCTAGAAGCTCACAACCTACCTTTCTATCATTTATGTCGTGCTTTACTCTATGTCAGCTATTCTTAGCACTTTACAGACACTGACAATCTAATTGGGATAGACATATGTAGTCCACCAGGTCCAATTCAGTGTGCTAAACCTCTAACAGGTGTTTGGATAGGAGCAGCTGTCGCAGGAGTGATTGGTTTTGATTTGGGAAGTGGTAAGGTTGGGAGTGGGTGTGAAGAGAAGGTAGAATCTTGAAGAATAAAGGTGGATTTGTCAGGGATTGAGGGAGTCGGGGGGTAAGACGGAAAACATTTCAGGTAGAAGAACAGCGTGAGCAAAGGCTGAGGCATCACAACAGATGGTACAGTCACGGAACTGCCAGTGTGCTCACGGTCTAGCATGGCTAGTGAGGAGAAGCCGGGAATGAAAAAGCAGGCTGGTCTTTACACATCATAGGAAATCATTGAAGTTTAGCAGCCTAGATGTACAATTAGATAATCACATGAAGAAATAATTCTGGTATAAGGCACATTTTGTATACAAGTGTTTGTATATGTGTACTTATATATTTTTCAAAGTCTTCCTTACGTTTATTGCATCTTTTAATCCATCACTTACAATGACTTTGAATTTTTTTTTTTTTTTAAAGATTTTATTTATTTATTTGACAGAGAGAGACACAGCGAGAGAGGGAACACAAGCAGGGGGAGTGGGAGAGGGAGAAGCA